AAAAAAAAAAAAAAAAAGAAGACAGATGGCCAATAAATATATGAAAAAAGGCCAGGCTGGTGTCTCACACCTGTAATCCCAGCACTCTGGGAGGCCGAGGCAAGTGGACTGCTTGAGCTTACATTCAAGACCAGCCTGGGCAAGAGCAAGACCCCGTCTCTACTAGAAATGGAAAAACTAGCAGGGCATCATGGCAGGCACCTGTAGTCCCAGCTACTTGGTAGGCTGAGGCAAGAGGATTGCTTGAACCCAAGAGTTTGAGGTTGCTGTGAGCTATGACACCATGGCACTCTACCCAGGGTGTTTTCCAAAAAAAAAACAAAGAAAAAATGCTCAGTCTCACTGATCATCAGGGAGATGCAAATTGAAACCACAATGAGGTGATCACCTTACCCCAGTTAGAATGGCTTTTATTAAAACATCCAAAACCCCCAAAACAAAAGATTTTGGTGTGGTGCAGAGACAAAAGAACACTTATACACTGTTGGTGGGACTGCAAATTAATATAAACTTCATGGAAAACAGTATGGAGATTTCTCAGAGAACTAAAAGTAGACTTAACATTTAATCTAGCAGAGAGGTGCCTGTGGCTCAGTGAGTAGGGTGCCGGCCCCATATACTGAGGGTGGCAGGTTTAAACATGGCCCCAGCCAAACTGCAACAACAACAACAACAACAAAAAAAATAGCTGGACGCTGTGGCGGGCACCTGTTGTCCCAGCTACTTGGGAGGCTGAGGCAAGAGAATTGGCTAAGCCCAAGAGCTGAAGGTTGCTGTGAGCTGTGACACCACAGCATTCTACCGAGGGTGACAAAGTAAGACTCGCTCTAAAAAAAACAAAAGAAAACATTTAATCTAGCAATCCTACTATGGTTACTTACCCAAAGGAAAAGAAGCCTTTTCATCAAAAATACACTGCACTTAAATGTTTATTGCAGCACAATTCACAATTGCAAGGATGTGGAATCAACCCAAGCCCATCAATTCATGAGTGGATTTCTAAAATGTGGTAAATGTATACCATGGAGTACTACTCCGCCATAACAAAAGATGTATTAATACCTTTTGCACAATCTGGATGGAACTAAAGATCATTCTCCTAAGTAAAATATCTCAAGAAGGGAAAAACAAACATCACAAGTACTCACTATTAAATCAGAACTAACTGATAAGCACACATGTGCATAGATGCACATGAAACTCAGTGGAAATCAACCAGAAGATAAAAAACAACCTAATAGGTATTATGAACACCATTTGGGTGATGGTCACACCCATAGCTGGGACTCAAACATAACAAAAATGATCTGTGCAACCTAAACATTTGTACTCTTTTAGTATTTTGAAATTAAAAAAAAAAAAAGAATAGGTAAGACACTAGTTATAGCTGTCACCTCTGCAGGGAAACTAGGGTTGACTGTGAAAGGAAACTCACTTAGCACTGTGTGCCTTGCTTTCAAATGGCTCAATTGTTTACAGGGTGCTAGACATTTCCACTGGCTCCTTCAGATACTCTCCATCCTCATGTATGATGCTCTGTGTCCAAAAGATCATAGGCCCCATATTGCCAAGCTCACGTGGCCTCTCTTTGGATCTTCCCAATGGAAGAAACCAAGAGGGAAATGGAGAGTGGGCAGTGGTGTGAAACCAAGGTTTTCACTGCCCAGGTTCCTCTCAGAGACATTGCTGGAAGTTAGCCATGTCTATGACCAGAGGACCCCATCCCTTGCTTCATCAGCTGTCCTTCCCACAAAGCTCATCTTTCCATGTTCTAAGATGGGATTCTACTTGTTTGTTTGTTTGGAGACAGAGTCCCACTTTGTTGCCCTTGGTAGAGTGCTTTGGCATCATAGCTCACAGCAATCTCAAACTCTTGGCCTCAAGTGATCTCTTGCCTCAGCCTCCTGAGTAGCTGGGACTACAGGTGCCTGCCACAATGCCCAGTTATTTTTTCTTTTTTTTTAGAGACGTGGTCTTGCTCTTGCTTAGGCTGGTCTTAAACTCATGAGCTCAGGCAATCCACCTGCCTCAGCCTCCCTGAGTGCTAGAATTATAGGCATAAGCCACTGGCCCAGCAGTAAGATGGGAGTCTGGAATAATCCTCTTCCTTGCCATTCAGGTCTAGGCTGGTAAAGGTCCCCCCATCCCTGTTCACATCTTCACTGAGAGCATCCTCTGCTTTCTGCTAGAATTCTGATGGATACATACAACACATGAATGCTTTACATTTTCAAAAACATTAGAAAATTATTTTTAAAAAGGCAGATGTAGCATGTGTTGTCTCAATGAACTAAACCAGTACCTTGACCCGGATGAAGTGTCTTACCTGTTCGTTAACATCATCCATCCAGAGACGTAATGTTTTCCGAATTGTTGGGTAATTGTTTCTGCCTCCTGTCTGTGATTTCAGCAGCCCAGCCTTCTCTAGGTTGTTCAAGGTCAATATGTGCTCATAGCCATATGTCTGCAAAGTAAGTCATTTGGCCTTGATGTCAGATGAAATCTGGAAAAGGGTTTCTGTGACTTTAAACAAAGCGCACTTCTAACAAATCCATTTGGTTTGTACTCCAGGGTGTGTCACCAAAGTCCAGAAATGGAAGCAGGGAGAGGGATGAAATTTGTCCTTAAATTGCTTGCTCATTACTATTAATCCAGCTCTTTGTTTCAAAAAGGGATTTAAAATTTTTACAGAATTAAGGGATCTAACTTAAGTGTGCATCAAATAAGTGACAGTAAATTTATATATGGGATATAAACAGCTCTAAAAAAAGAGTAAGGTATAACTATACTTCAAAAAGAAAGACCTTCTGGATATATTAAGGACAAAACGTAGTAATAGAATACTATAGGAGGATTTTTATTTTTTTACTTTTATTTAGGAGGATTTTCTTTTTTTTTTTTTTTTTTACTTTTTTGGAGATAGAGTCTCACATCACCCTCAGTAGAGTGCCATGGTGTCACAGCTCATAGAGACCTCCAGCTCTTGGGCTTAGGCGATCCTCTTGCCTCAACCTTCTGAGTGACTACAAGTGCTCGCCACAACACCCGGCTATTTTTTGTTGCAGTTTGGCCAGGTCTGGGTTCAAACCCACCACTGTCAGTATATGGTGCCAGAGCCCTACTCACTGAGTCACAGGCGCTGTATAGGAGGATTATATTTCTGTTAAAAAAAGAAATGCTAAGGAATAATAGGCAACACTTATGTAATACTTTCTCTGAGCTATGCACTGTTCTGGTCCTAAGCATTCCAAAGAAATTCACTCCATCATCCTCACTGTAACCCAAAGTAGGTATTATTATCTCCTCCATTTCACAGATGAATTTAAATAATGTGCCCAAGGTCACACAGTAAAGAGCAGAGCTGAAACCTGGATCTAGTCAGTCTCGCTCCAAAATCTCTGTACATAAATATTTTCTCTGTATATAAATGCAAGAAAGGGAGTCTCAAAGGAAGCAAACCAAACTGCAGACACCAGTCACATCTGGAGAGGGAAACAGGGATGAGCAGGGAACAGGGGATATTCACATTTTGCTCCATATACTTCTCTATTATTTGAATTTTTTTTTTTTTTTAAAGACAGGGTCTCACTATATAGCCCAGGTTGGTCTCAAACTCCCGGGCTCTAGTGATCCCCCACCTCAGCCTCTCAAGTAGTTGGGGCTACAGGAGTGTGCTACTCCACCCAGCATTACCTGAATCTTATATAATGAGAATGCATAACTTAAAAAAAGATGAAAACAAAAAATTAGTGAGCCCTTAATATTAACAATAATGTACTTGACTAGTGGGCGGCACCTACGGCTCAGTGAGTAGGGCGCTGACCCCATATACCGAGGGTAGCGGGTTCAAGCCCAGCCTCGGCCAAACTGCAACAAAAAAATAGCCAGGCATGAGCGGTGCCTGTAGCTCAGGAGTGAGGTGTCTGCCCCATACACTGGAGGTGGCAGGTTCAAACCTGGCCCCCGGCCAAAAACTGCCAAAAAAAAAAAAAGAAAAAAGCCAGGCATTGTGGCAGGCACCTGCTGTCCTACCTATTCAGGAGGCTAAGGCAAGAGAATCACCTAAGCCCAAGAGCTAGGGGTGGCTGTGACGCCATATACAGCACTCTACTGAGGGTGACAAAGTGAGACTCTGTCTCAAAAAAAAAAAAAAAATAATAATAATAATAATGTACTTGACTAGTAACAGCATTTACTATTACCTTTCTAAACAGAGGAAAGAATTTTTAAAATAATGGTAGGTTTTTCCTTATTATAAAGTAACACAGGCTTAAATTAAACAACCCTGCAAAGGAACCATTACCAGAAATTTGCAGAAAGTTCTATTCCTCCATTGCATAATTGCCTAGTTAAGAACATGGTAGTTAAAGGCTAGGCATGGTGGCTCACACCTGTAATCCTAGCACTCTGGCAGGCCGAGGGAGGTAGACTGCTTGAGCTCAGAAGTTTGAGACCCACCTGAGCAAGAGGGAAACTCCATCTCTGAAAATAGTGAAGTGTTGTGACAGGTGCCTGTAGCCCCAGCTAATTGGGAGGCTGAGGCAAGAGAATCACATGAACCCAAGAACTGAGGTTGTTGTGAGCTGTGACGCCACAGCACTTACAAGGGTGACAAAGTGAAACTTTCTCAAAAAAACAAAAATAAAAACATGAGAGTTAGATCCAAGTTGCCTGGGTTTTAGTGTTCACTCTGCCACTTACCAGCTGGGTGACCTGGGGTGAGTCACTAGTTACTAGTCTGTCTCACGTTTTTCATCCACAAAATGGGGATAATAACGGTATCACAGGGCTTTTATGAAGACTAAACAAATGAATATACACAAAGTTCTTCTATCAGACCCTGGCACATAGTAAATGCTCAATAAATATCAGCTACTATTATTACTACAAAAATAGAATAAACAGTGATACCAACACCACATCCTCTAGGTATTAAAAAATTAAAAAGACAGTGGTAGCAATACACTAAATTGGCAGCTTTATGAAGTATTTTAAGGATGCTTTCCCTTTCAGTAAATTAATAATTAAAAAATATACTGACCTGGAGAATTTCTCTTTTATAATAATCCAACACTTTTTGTTTGAGTCCACTATTGCACACGGACTGGAGACAAACTAGTCTTAACACCTTGATCAATGGGTGCTTTTGGGCAATACAATCCTCAATGTAATTGTTGACCTAGAAATAAAGTTGTATACACATACACTAAGTGTATGGTTTGGCTACTTAAAATAACTTGATGTTTACTATTTTTTAAAGTTAAATAAAGATGACACGTGAGAAAGGGTTATTTCCACATTCCCTAACTCTTCCTTGAAATAGTACTCCCAGCCCTGCATGCCACATAAACACACCAGCAACTAGGCTACATCACCGGAGCACAAGGGCAGTGAGGACACAAATGGCCAATCCAAATGCCTGTCTTGACACATCTGTGTTTATGGAGAATTTTCTGAAAGGCTGCCAAGTGTTTGGGGCTTCTGGGGATTGTGTAACCTTATCTATTTCAATAATAATGGCAATTTATCAAACAGAAAGTAACAAGATTTTTTTGTAAGTTATGAATTTTCGTGAGTGAATAAAACTTACTGATAGAGCTTTAAAAGGAATTATATAAGAAATTTTCTCCAAAAAAGTGAATATCTTATCTCTTACAGTCCTTCAAGATCTTTGATGTCAGATGAAGAATCTCATCTCACCATGTGCTACAGAAAGTGTCTTGCATAAGTAATGTGAAATATCTGTTATTTGATGAAATCAGTATTTTCACATTTTGCATACACTCTCAAAAATATTTAGGAAAGGCATGGGAATCAAAGCAATTGCTTTCTTGGCTATTATCTTATGTTTGATAAACTTCAACTCTTTGTTAGAGTTATTTTTACCCACATACCTTATCAGTGTCTATTCCAGACATAAACTCTTGTTCCACTGTCAATTTGTCAAAGAAGTCTTCAGAAGCTAAAATGTAATGGACAAATTTGCAACTTAGAAATTAAATGTATTTGAATGGTGTGCTTTTATCCATAGAGCATGATTAAGAAATAAGACATGCAGAAAAGTTCTGGATAAAGTTTTTCAGCTAAAAAAAGGAAAAATTAAAATGAAAAAGAAAAAAAACAACAGAAACAAGACAAGCAAAAAAGCAAGCAAGCGACAGTTCAAATCACCACCTGAAGAGAATTTTCTACAAAACATGGAAAATCTTAGAACTTTGTTCTCCTAACATTACATTTAGTCAACTACTGCACTCATTTATATCCTTAGGATTTAAATACAGACCCCAGAATTTTGCAGAATGAGCCTCAGTATCACTGAAAACTAATTTCCTAAGAACACCTTACTTTCATCATCAGATTACAACTAAGTTTCAATTGATTTCCACTTCCATAAACATAAAGAAACAAAGGACTGATTTTTCCAATACTACGTTATATTTACAGCTTGAAGTTTACTTCATACATAAAGTAGAGCACCAAATAATCTCCTACTCGGCTTTTACAGCCCTGTGTGTTAACGATGAAGGAACCTCTGTTTGGTTTAACAGCTATCTTCTGAGCTCCTTCAAAATATTCAACATATGTCCTCTGTACCAAGTCTACAGAAAATTTTCAAGGGAAAAACAAACAAGAAAACAGAAATGTCACTTGCTCCAAGTGTAGTTTCTTCAAAAAAGAAAAAAAACTGCACTAAAAAAATTAACTACTTCATGTTACAATGGTAAACTTAATTTGTTTCCACTTACCCTTATTCCAAATATTTTGTCATATGACTAATGGGAAAAACTGTTAACACAAATGGAACATTCTTAACTGTTAAAGTGTGTACATTTACTTAACGTCAAGAATAATACTCGACATTAAAATAGACGCGACTCCCCCAAGGAGGTATAACGGTGTTGATGACACAGTGGTGTTGGAGATTGTGTGTCAAGGTCACCCCATGTGGGAAAAAATCATTCCAAAGGATACTCACTAGTGACATCTTTGATTAACTCTGCAATCGAGGTGTGGTTTGCAAGGGAGCCCCTGGCTGCCTGCATGTGTGGCAACTGGGAAACAAACTGCTTGATCTCCCCAACTGTTTTCGCGTTGTGCCGCTCCTGAAGGGACAAGAGAGGGGCATGTCAGCAGGGATGATACTTTATTCTTAGGCATTCTGCTTTGTATGTCCAGAGTATGTCTGATGTATTAACGAGAAGGAAAGAATGGAGTACAAATAAATCACGATAAACAGAGTTCCAACATTCTGTAGAAAAACAGAAAAAGGAAATATATTACTAAAGGTAATGTCCCTGGTAACTGTTTCCTGAGTGAGCACCTCTGCAGAGAGCAAATGCCTCAGAGCTGATCTTCCCACGTACCAGCTCACAATGTGTCAGTATTTTGTGAACATGTATTAGTGGCAGACAGTCTTAGGTAAGTCATACACATTCCTGAATAAAATACTAAGACAAAATATTATGCTCAGAAGGGAACATAAACACTAGAGTTTCCTGTGTAACAGAAAAAAATCCATTCATCTCTTTTTTTTTTTTTTTTCAGACAGAGCCTCAAGCTGTCGCCCTGGGTAGAGTGCCGTGGCATCACAGCTCATAGCAACCTCCAACTCCTGGGCTCAAGCGAGTCTCCTGCCTCAGCCTCCCAAGTAGCTGGGACTATAGGCGCCCGCCACAACACCCAGCTATTTTTTGGTTGCAGCCATCATTGTTGTTTGGCGGGCCTGGGCTGGATTCGAACCTACCACCTTAGGTGTATATGGCTGGCGCCTTAGCCACTTGAGCCACGGGCGCCAAGCCAAAAAATCCGTTCTTGCTGCTGAACCTGTCTTGAGTACAGTGAACCTAGCATAGTGATGAGAATATGTTTTGGTAAAATTTAATAATTTATGCCAAAAGTAACAGAAATATGAAAATCAATTAACGAATATAATTCCTAAGAAGGACAAAATCTGGAATCATATGCTCAGTGAAAAATTAGTCTTCTAATAACAAACTATACAAATGATTCCTGAAAGTATAGTCTTAGAAAAAAATTGGTCTTCTAAAACTTTTCCAATTTATGTTTCCAAAGTCTAAATATTCTGAGTTTATCACCTTACTGAATTCCCATGATTCAGAAGGAGCTTACCCTAGAATAAACCAGTGAATGGGCAAGAGGCGGCAGGCAGGTGATAATGAAACCAGCAGTCTAAAAGCTCTGGGCTGGCTGGGGATTTCAGTCTCATTATCACTCACCAGACATGCAGGGAGCCCCTGCCATACACATTTTGGTTGAACTTGGGAGTTTTCATTAGGAATTGCAAGTTCTATTATAGAGATTCTTTTATTTATTGTATAGCTGGCTTCCTCATAAGTGAGGTAGAAAACAATTTAGAAGAAGATAAAGCAAATGCTTATGATGTAAGTTTGTTATTGTAAACACTTGTGCCCCATACTAACCCCCTCTCATCCACAGAAAAGGAGAAAAATTTTATATCCATTTTTTCTTTTTTGAGACACTGTTTCATTCTGTTACCCTGGTTAGATTTGCAGTGGTGTCATCATAGCTTACCATGACCTCAAATTCCTGTGCTGAAGCAATCCTCCTGCCTCAGCCTCTCTAGTAACTGGGATAATAGGTGTGTATCATTATACCTAATTCTTAATTTTTTTATTTGTTTATTGTTTTTTGAGATAGTCTCACTCTGTCTAAGTAGAGTGCCGAGGAGTCATCACAGCTCACAGCAACCTCAAACTCTTGCGTTCAAGAGATCCTCTTGGCTCATTCTCCCGAGTAGCTGGGACTACAGGCACTTGTCACAAAGCCCAGCTGATTTTGCCTATTTTTAGTAAAGATGGGATCTCACTCTTGCTCAGGTTGGTCTCAAACTCCTAATCTCAGGCAATCCACCTGCCTCAGCCTCCCACAGTGCTTGGAATAGAGGCATAAACCTCCTTACTCAGCCTATACAACACCTTTTGTCATGCTAGTGTTGCAGAATGACAATCAAAACTTGCCTCACCTCAAATGCTGCAGAGATGATCTTTGCTTTCTTGCTAAGCACGGAGCCCACTGCATTGAAGTTCTTATCTCGGATCTCAGCATAGAGCTCCTCTGCAGAATTCAGCTGAAGCTTCTTTGCTTCGGTGGGGAGGTCCTTACCACCATCACCCTGTTTCTTAGGTGCAAATTTCTCTGGAGGTAATTTCACATAACCTGAACAATGATGGAAGAGAATAAGCACTTGTGTGCAATTATTGGAAGAAGCAATCAAGTGCCCAGGCCCAACAGAGAATTTCCAACTCAGGAAAGAATGCAAGATGGCAAACAGCAGATACCTCTGAGCTTCTCATTGATCATGACCACAGCAGAGGGAGTAGTGACTCTTTAATATTGATATTATGGTTCTAACTTTCTTTGGGGCAATAGCCAATTTCTAAATTTAGTCAAGGATTAGGTCACTTTTCTACCCAAGAAGTTACAGGGATATTTTTATTATCTTTTAGTGTTTTTCAAACTGTAGGTCATGTCCCACTAGTGGATCATGAAACCGAGCCAGTAGGTTGCAAGCAGCATCCTTTTTTTTTTTTTTTTGAGACAGAGTCTCAAGCTATCCCCCTGGGTAGAGTGCTGTGGCATCAGCTCACAGCAACCTCCAACTC